ATCTTCCTTCTCCTCCTTCTCCTCCTTCTCCTCCTCCTTCTCTTCCTCTTCTTCCTTCTCCTCTTCCTCCCCCTTCTTCTTCTTCTTTTCTCTTCCTTCTCCTCCTTCTCCTCCTCTTCCTTCTCCTCCGTCTCCTCCTTCTCCTCCTCCTCCTCCTCTTCTTCCTTCTTTTTCCTCCTCCTACTCATCTTCCTTCTCCTCCTTCTCCTCCTTCTCCTCCTCCTTCTCTTCCTCTTCTTCCTCCTCCTCTTCCTCCCCTTCTTCTTCTCTTTTCTCTTCCTTCTCCTCCTTCTCCTCCTCTCCTTCTCCTTCGTCTCCTCCTTCTCCTCCTCCTCTTCCTCCTCCTCCTCCTCCGCTGCTGCCGCCGCCGCCGTACATCGATGCAAAACGGCAGCAAAAATTCCGTGCTTCTTACCAGTACCGGTCGGCAAAGCTTCCCCGCCGACATGCACACTGCTGGAAAAACAGCGAAAGTTGATCTCACAGACTCTAGCGGACTGCTTCGTTGATACCTCGTCTATAGTGCCGGTTTCCCACGAGCATACAGCTTATAGAAAGCTTAAAGCTATATGGCTTGTGAAAGGCTTAAAGCTATGTAACTTGAAGATCGTTTATGGCAAGAATATAGACAAGGCTGTTACAAACACAGTGCGAGGGGTGGGGAAACGTTTCAATGACTCGGGCAATGAATCCCAGTACAACGGCGTGGTTTACCGCCTACAATAGAGGGAGTACAAGTACAACATGGATGCGTCACAGTTGACCATCAATGCTGGAACTGCACCCATGCTTGACCATGCAACCCATCTATGCTTGACCAGGCAAACCATTCATGCTTGACCATGCAACCCATCCATGCTTGACCTGGCAACCCATCTATGATTGACCACGCAACCTTATCATGTTTGACCATGCAACCCATCCATGCTTGACATGCAACCCATCCATGCTTGACCAGGCAACCCATCCATGCTTGACCAGGCAAACCCATCCATGCTTGACCAGGCAACCCATTCATCGTTGAATATGCGACCCTCTTCCGTTAAGCCGGACCAACCGTCCTATCCTAACTGTCCGGGTTCGCCATGCTTATATATATATATATACATATATGTGTATATATATGCATATATATACATACATGTATATACATATATAGAATGAATCGGTGTCTAGACCCAACCCGGGTTTCTTCAGGTTAAACTATAAGCTCACCACAGCTCGGCTTTCCAGCCATGTCCCTGAATACTAATACTATAGTACGTTACCGTTACCGGGCCTGCTCTACGCGCGTAAATAAGTGACTTCTGGGTTTCATGTTTGTTTGTTTTGCTAGCCGTGTAAGAATCAGCAGCGTCCCATTACCTACAAGACGCGGCAGTGCGCCGAACTGCTCAACAACAAGTCCTTCCACGGATACATCTTCGAGTGGCAGGCCTTCACCGACATCTACACGGGTGAGCGTGCGCGCGTGCGTGCGTGCGTGCGTGCGTGCGTGCGTGCGTG